TACTTAGCCATAACTGAAACAACTTCGATCGTGGGAACAAGTTGCTGAGGAAATTGGCTATCCGATAGCAATGACTGTGTTGACACTCCTCGACAAGTTTCAGAGTTCAGATGACTGAGAGAACTTTGGTTTATAGTCAGTGCTTCTCCAGATACAAGAGAATGGTGTTGCTGAGGCTTTGGCATTTCTTGCGAAATAGCTACTACTGGTTCAACCGAAGGTCTGAGACCCCGTAGACTGCCAGGAATGACCTGTGGCGAGTGCTTCGGCGAATTCTGCCCCCGATTGCAGTGCAATGGAACCTTAGGCTCCGGCACAGAATAAGACTCGTTGGAAATACTCTCCGGGGTGTTTACCTTCGAGACCCGATAGGATGTTGGGTGATCGAAACTGTCTGACTTCGCTTCGTGCACCTCTGAGAATGACAGGAAGCGCCCCTCCCTGTAGTGTACGGATGAGGCTGCAGGCTGACCAATGTAGAATGGTCCGCAAGCGTGAACAAAGGGAATGAAATGTGAATAAATGACTCATCCAGGTTGTATGAAAGAGTGAGGTTACCGGAAATGTCGTAGGGTGTTTTGTTATGGCAGTTTTCGCTGTGCTTATACACTTTCAATAAACGTTTCACTTACTGACTACCTTACCGATTACGTGAAAGTAAGCAGCCGGTGTTTTTGATACTCAGTGATTGCTACCGTTAAATATGTCAGAGACAATTCTTACCGACTCGGCCAGCTGCCATCAGAAGTAACGTCAGGGTAATGAACAGCATTGTTGACAAGTAGAGCTGCACTCATCGAAGATCGTACATCTTATATATATAGTATTCGAGTAAACAAAAGTTGACCGCACCACAACTCTGCGATGGTCTGTTTGTTTGGATAACTTGTTGTTGTAACTCACGGTCACATTATTTGTGGCTGTTTGAATTATGGTCTTATTGTTTACCCGTATATAGAGCCAGATAAAGACATCTGTAAGATATTTCACGTTATCGACGACGGCATATTTCTCACAAGAATTTGGACGCGCAGTCGGCAGTGCAACGAGCATACAATGAAGACGTCGCTGCAGATACTTCCGAAAGAAGGACTTGCTGTATGATGGAGACTACAGCGGCCTTGTTGAAATTGTTCATGCACATATATCGAGCATTTCAAAAGAATGGTGAAGAGATCTGTTAAGATAGAGGCTGTATAGTTGTAGTTGGCTCTGTATTTAACGGGTAAGGTGATGTACCCTGACCTGGTCAAAGTTTCAGCTGAGAATACCTCGGGGGGGG